TGAACTGTTTTGCCTTTGCCTATTTATATAATGATATATTTTTATGTGAAACATTATTGATTAAAAACGTTCACCATATATATTTTTATAAGTTAGGATAATAAAGAAAGCTGTAATAATATCATATAGGTAACACATTTCGTATTATATTGTTTGCAATGGTATAGAAGAGAGTAATTAAAAGATGAACCGAAAAAGATTGGATCTAGATAAAGGAGAGTGAAGTGACACAACAACAACACAACACCAACAACAGCTGAGCAGTTAAAATACTTTCGAAAAGGAAAAGATGACGGCAGAGGAATGCAGTAGTGCCAACTTGATCGACATTCCGCCTCCGCCCTTTACCAAATAGAAAGTGCTCTGTTATTAGCCTCTTCCACTTCGCTTCTCCAATTTCGATATACCTACTCGAATTTCTCTTCCAATTTCACCAATAGTCCCCTCCAACCACATTGTTCCGCACATTAATATCTCTTCAATCAGATATACTTAACAAATCTCTTATGACCCGGTTTCGCTCGATCTTAGATCTAAGTGAGAGTCAAAAGTGAATTAAAAAAAAAGACTAAAACCATCATAACGTTATAGTCCGGGAGCCCGTAGCAAAAATGGTGTCATATTTCATGCTAACAATAAGATTTGTCCTTATAAATTGACCATATCCACATGCCTGATGAGAAAAATGCTCCTCTTTCAGCATATAGCCGCTGGAATACAAAACGGCGGCCAGATGAAGATAGATAGAGACCCTACATAGGTCTTATATTTTGTGAAACTTATATAGAGAGTGGGCTTATAGATATAGAAAGCTATCAACCCTTTAAATTTATAGTATTTACTGTCCTAGGACATGGAATAATAGTCAGTTACTCCATACTAGTGGATTTCAAGTCGAAAATTTGAATTTACCATTCAAAAAGTCTACTTTTTCGATTTGTCGCCTATAGCACTTTGACTATTGCTGTTCGGTATATGGGGGCGTCTATGGGGATCTCGAGGCGAAACTAAAACGTTTGATAAATTGCTTTGTACGATTCATCTTCGGGATACCAAGGTATGTCTCTGTTTCTCATTTTTATGCAGAGTTGAAGTGGCTTTATCCTTCCTACCATCGCAAATATTTCCTGGCATCCTTCCTCTTTCAAGTCATCCAATCCCACCGCTCTTCGTACATCTCCGAGCTCCTTCAATTCAAACCCTCTGTTCGTTCCCGCAATACTCGTTCCCGGTCTTCTGATTTATATACAAGGGTCCACCGAACCGTTGCTTTCGACAGTTCTTTAATTATCCGATCCGCATCCCTTTGGAACTCTATCCTCTCTCACATTCGTCAAACCAATACCCTTCGTACCTTTAAATCCCGCCTGTTCAATAATTTCTTATCCATGAAATTGTAAATAGATACTAATGTAAATATGTATATAAATTATTAGTTCGTTCTTCATTATTTTTACTTCATCCTTTTTTTTCAATTTTTTATTTTTTATTATTAACTGAGTAAAATTAGAAAATAACTTATAATTTTTCATTTTTTTACTATGCCTATTTAATTTTTATTTATGTATCTCTAAGGCTCCTTAGCCCATATTTATGCCTTTCTGTATTATTCTAAAGGGACTCGTCCCAGAATAAATAAAGTATTATTATTATTATTATTATTATCAGGGAAACTATGCGTTCTATTGATATGTATGTTACAAGTCAAATTAAAGCTTACAGAAATGGTTATATTAGTTTTTTCTCTATATTCTGTAGTGTCCGTGATATCCGTCCTTCACTAACATCGAAAAAAAAAATGGTTTTTCCTCGCATTTTTATCATTATTTGACTCGCTAATTCATTATCTTTTCATTTTACAAAAACTTCATGAGGAAGAAAGTTGTTAAATATTACATTTCCTTTAAGAATATATATATATATATATATATATATATATATATATATATATATATATATATATATAGAGAGAGAGAGAGAGAGAGAGAGAGAGAGAAATAGAAATAAAAAAATCATCTTTATTCTGGGTCTAGGTCCCTTTAGAATAACAGTATTGTTCATATAAATTAACCATAAATCTGGTCAAAAGACCTATTACAATGAATAATAACAAAATACTAGTAAAAAGTAAGTATAATAGCTCTTAGGATAAATTAATGAGGACAGTTGGGTAATAGGGGTTCAATACTACTATTACTGCTATTCAATATTGGAGCTAAAACAATAGCATAATAATCACTAAATGAAATTAGAAAGGAATGCAAAATCAATTTTATGGGCAAAGCATTGTAGTGATGGAATATAAAAATTAAAAAATAAAATAATAATTGTTAATCTATAATATATATCTTTACAACTTTTCCTTAATCGACCTTTGAGTATTAAATTTAAACTTAACTATTTAATTGGGAATAAGGTCACTTAATTATTATTTAATAAACTATTGAATGTTCATTTCTTCTGTTTATTGACGTTTCGATCCCGGTATTTTCTTTTTATTAGTCAACCATGGGATCCTCTTCAAAGCTAGAATTTAAAAAACTAGAGCTTCGATCAGGCCAGGGACACACCGACAGTCTCAGCACCGTCCACTAGCACATATATTGGAGAATATATAAGATATGTAGCTTAATATATGTGCTAGTGGACGGTGCTGAGACTACGGTGTGTCCCTGGCCTGATCGAAGCTCTATTTTTTTAAATTCTAGCTTTGAAGAGGAGTTGACTAATAGAAACTATGGTTGACTATAGAAAGAAAATATGGTTGACTAATAGAAAGAAAATACCGAGATCGAAACGTCAATAAACAGAAGAAATGAACATTCAATAGTTTATTAAATAATAATTAAGTGACCTTATTCCCAATTAAATAGTTAAGTTTAAATATATATATCTTCTACAGTTTCAGTAATAAACATCGATACTCTTTGTAAGTAAGAAAACAACAAACTAATTATAAACTGCACCAAACAAATAGGTCATGAGCGAATATAATAATGGATTAGTAAAAGTTTAAAAAATACTGTTAATGAAATATGACTTCATTCATTGAAGAAGTTTTCATTCAAATGAATTGATTTATTCAAATCATTTAGACAGAATCATAATACAGTAGTGCAGCACGGTCTGATCTAGGGGGGGGGAGTTATAGAAAACAAATATTAAAAAATTATCTCCTAAAATTATTATTATTCGTGTAATTATATTTAAAAGAACTTTAAGAATCACTTAAACACCACTTCATAAAGGTAGTAAGTTTGTTTCTTTTTTTCCAAAGTAATTATCGTTATTTTTATGAAAAAAAAGCTTTCTGGCTGAAGCTTCCCCCCCCCCAAAAAAAATTAAATTCCTGGATCCGTTAGTGTACAGCAGAATAGTGAATCGATTAATAAGTTTTCTTCACGACTCTAGACAGGGAACACACTCAAACAGATACCCACAATTTAAAAGTTTTCTCAATTTTCCAATTCCATCATCAATCTTCTAAATGTTCTGTGAGGTTTCGTTTCGACTAAATCGAAAAAAAAAACAAAAAAAAAAAAGGAAGGAATTCCATTGGCAGTGGAAGTTGGAAGTTGTTAAAGTGCCTTGAGTTCCGCTGCCCTTCACCTTCCACTAGCCACTTCCGGTGCACAGGCCTTCCACATCGACCAATATGGGTACTTCTTCCTCAAAGGCCATTAGCTACAAACTGGAAGTGAGAGGGATTCCTTTTACAGTCAATTATAAATTTCAATCTCGAATTGAAAAATTTCATCGATTGGAATAATGTATCTTATCCATAAAAATACATCAAAAAAAGAAAAGCTCCTTTTTCCCACATGGGCATTCCACTGATCCTATTTTCTACGCACATCTCACAACATTACTCGTATAATATCCTTATATTCCTAAAGAAAAAAAATGCTGCAAATTATTTCACAACGGTTTATTATTTCCAAATAATTATACATCTAAAGTAACATTACCTTCCTAGTTACAAAGAAAAATAAATAAAAGGTGATTCCAATTATTGGAATAAACTTTATTTTTTTCAACCATTAGTAATATGCTAAAAAAAATAGCATTACTTCAGTAACACATTCAAAATTTAAAAACCAAACAAACGATATAACATTTGGAATAGAACATATAAAAAAGAACTGAAGACCATATGTTTGCTCCTAATTGTCAGATTTTAACGATTTTTTTTTCTTTTTTAGGAAATTCCATAAACAATATCGACAAAAAATTGTAAACTTTTTGAGTTATTCGGAATTTAATTTTACCATCCCTCGTAATATTTTTTTCCAGCTCCTTTTCATTGAAGTATGTTATATGGGTAAATTTAAACGGCATCGAGAAAACGACTTTGGCGAAGTTTCATTGAAATCGGTACATTCGTTTAGGAGCTACAGTCTATAGCGACGCAGGTTTTTTCGGGCGCCATTTTGAAAGTAAAAGGCGGATGTTAATGTCGATGATGAAGAATCATTCTCGAGTGACCACTGGTTTTATATCCAAATTTTAAAAAAATCGGTCCAGTGGTTTCTTTCGAAAAATTTTTATTCGTTTTTCGAATTCTACGCATCCTGAAACGTGAAACCAAAAATTTTGAGAGGGGGTTAAGTTTTGAATTTTTTGGTCGATCACAATGGTTGATTATTGATAATAATAAACCAATAGTTAAAAAGGAAATACCCAAACAAGAAAAGCAAAATGAAATGAAATACCATGAATTAAAGTTATATATTATTAGGAAAAATGTATTATAATATTAAGTTGAATATCTTCAGGATAGACCAAAACAAGATCACACACAAGGTTATAGCCAGAAGAGGGGATAATTATTCTGAAAATGATTAATTTCAAATGTGGGGAGTTAGTTAATCTAACTCTTTATTAATAAATCTCTTTTAGAATATTGAAATATACATGTATACATTTAGTAACCGACTTGTTTCTGTTAATATGGTTTTGTCAGAAATTCGTTTTTTTAAATATATGTATTGCTATATTACCTGAGTGCTGAGAGCTCTGAAGCAGGATTCGATCTGAGTCCGCTCTTGATCCGGAATCTCGGCTCCCTCTGAGCTGGTGGAACTGGCTCCGTCCTCAGCCGCCACCGCCGACCGCCCTGGCCAGTCTGGCATGATCCTAGGCAAAACATCATCATCATCAAATATACGATAAAACTATCAAATCAGTCTCCATCTTGTATAAACATATTATACATTCGGAATGAAATATGCATAACTCAAATTTATTAGTCAGATATTTTATTGATTAGATACCTCAAATAACAGCCAGTCCTCGAATATCAGGGTTTTTTATACTTATATCTATCTCTCAATTAAATAAAAAAAAATGTTAGCGATTTTCATATTTTAGTATTTGGGTCAGTTGCTCCAACTCAGTAAAGCTTAGATTAAGCTTTATCTAAGATTAAACCAAGTTATCTAAGGCCGAACGATCAGGATTAAACTTGGTTTAATCGTAGATAAGGCTTTATCTAAGCTTTACTGAGTTGGAGCAACTGTTCCTTAGAAGAGTAGAAGATAACAGGAGCTTAACCTATTAGTCAATTATTTTACAAATTATACAGCTGTTCGTTTAATTACATATGTGTTTACTTCCTAACCTCCTACTAAAGATTTTAGACTAAAGGCCGATCCAGACGCTCCTTTTTGCACAACGTTTTGTCTGCGCAGTCTTAAGACGGAATGAAAACGTTGCAATTTTTAGAGCGTCCACACGGCAAAGACATATCTGTACATTTTGCTCAGTTTGTGTAAGATCGTCATGGAGGAGGTACTACTCTGGACGATTTCCTTTTTTTAAAAAGGAAACATCTCAGAAATACCCGTCGTTCGAAGTGGTCACGGAAGTGGCTTCTAAAACGCAGTACTTTGCATCAATATCTATAAATTTATTTGCTAAAATTTCATACGCCTCCTCCCTTCTTATCCCTGTCACTTCTTTTGATTTAACGCCAAATGCACGGGAAACTTTCATACAGAGCAATAAAATCGGTTAAAAACTCTCTAGAACATTGCCGTAGGTCAGCCATTGTCGCCTGACGAATTGAAACTAAGTAACAAAATGAATCGGAAAACGGTGCTACCGTCCACATGCAATGGCTTGTCTGCGCAGTTCAAGGAAATCTATGATTTCTGACTCAGTTTTAATAAAACTGTACCGTATTAGAAATGGATTCAAAACTGCATAGTTTTTCAGTCCACACGCAACGTTTTGGACTGCACAGACAAAACGTTGTGCAAAACGGAACGTCTGGACCGGCCCTAAAAATTTATACTTGAAATGGTATTTTCATCTATCTGGAGTTGGTAGTTTGATTTTACCTAGTGGGCAGCAGTTATTTTTCCATCTAGACATTTTTCCTTTAATAAAACATATTAATTATTATATTATTTTGTGATATAATTATAATGAAACAGAAATGGAAGGACAATATAACCTACAATGAATATATTAGAAATAAAACCCTCAAATTATTGTTGGGCTTTTGTGAAGCTCTGGACAAGTTGAATATATATTATGGTTGCAAATTGGTATTAATGCACCATCTATATAATATAGATTTTTAAACAAATTTTCCGAATTGTTCAGTTTATTTTATGTTGATAAAAAACAATACTATCTGAACTGTAGAATACATATAAACTAAAGTTATACAATTTCAGCAAACAGTGGTACAACTAAATGAACAATGGTATAATTTGTAAAATGGGGGTTGGTCCGCCGTTAGGAAGACAGGGTGTATCCTTAGGTATTTTATATCTGTACCCCGTAGGTAGTGAACACCATGTCAATTTTGTATTTGTTCATGTGAGCCAATATTCCATAACTTTTGAGATATTAAATTTTGTTTCCTTGTTACTAATTTATTTAATAAAAAAATGGACATGGTATGCTTTACCGCCGGGGCACATGTATAGATAGCGCAGCTAAAAGTTAACAATACTTCACGGTTATCGTCGGGCTCAAGTGCTCTCTCCAAAAAACCTTTCTGGAAATACTTGTTACTGAAATGGAAAGGGAATATGTAATCCTATCACCTTGACCCATTGTAAAGAACTCCGAAACATGGCCAATGTATCACATAAAGTGATAATGAAACAGTGTTTTTTACACGATCTATATTGGAACTGATCCTTATTGCATTAAGTGACACCCTAAATATACCTAGTCCTAATATTTATGTTTTTAAGAAAATAATTCAAGCAATTGAAGGACTTATTTTTATATAGCTATATTTTTTTAAATGTTAATTTACAAAAATAATTATACTATTCTTCCATAGAAGCGTGCTTCCCTTCCGACTACTCCTCAATAATTTCATGGTTATCTCAATGACAATTTTACTAAAGATAAAATCGTTAATCATTTATATTCGAGATAAATGATAATCTCTAATGCTATTTCAAAAAGCTCCTTATAGCTTTAATTAGGAACATTATCGATGAAATATGTTTAGACATTTTGATCAAGTCGTTTAGCGGATTTATGATTAATATATAATACATAATGAGTAGCATTATCAAACCTAATAAATTTCTCTTATCGTTTTGATAAGAGTTAAGCCAGTTCTTTGCTATAAATCCAAGAGATATTTATTTAATTATTGTCTAGCAAATATATATTCTTTGTATATATAATATATACACACATCTTTGAGAAAACATGAATCTCTAACAGAGTTACTATTACTTATTTTATTCCGTATAATTTCGGTTATCAGGTTGCCGGGCAACTCTCGGTGCTGTGCACACGCGTTAGCCCGCACGGCCACCCCGCCCCCATCTTCGTCCGGCATCTGCTAACCGTGACTTTTCTCCAAGGCTACTGGACCGATTGTTTTTACGTTCGGTATAAATAGTCCTGAGCAACCTAGGATGATTCTCGAAACTCTGTATTACTATCCGCCCTCTCCTTTCAAGATGGCGGCTGAAAAAGCTTTGTTGCTATGGACAGTAGCTCATAAACTAATTTATCGATTTTAATGAAATTTGGCCAATGTCTTCTCCTCGAAGCCCTTTAAATTTATGTGTATGCATACTTCATTAAAAAGTATTTTTCTATCAATATGGCGGTCGAAAAACCTGTATTGTTTAGACCTGGGGTCTCCAAACTTCGTCCTTCAATCCGTCCCGCGAAAGTTTCTTTGATGCGATAGTAAAATTTCAAAAACTGTTTAAAAATATGAAAATAAGCAAATCACCTACACACGATGTTACTAAAACATTTATTGCCTAGATTGTTTTTTCTTAGAAATCTCATTTCACAGCTGAAGTGTCATTTATAGAACACGATTTTTTGTTTTCATCACAAGCCATGCCCCGGGAGACTTTGGTGGAGGTTAAAATGCGGCCCGCGGACCAAAAAGTTTGAAGACCTCTGGTATAGAATGTACCGGTTTAGATTAATTTGGCTGAAGTCACCTCCTTCGAAACCCTTAAAATATATGCTTGTGACATATAATATTGAATGTTTAATAGTTGACCGTTGCATTGTAAAGGAAGGAGATGGTCCTGGGTGGGTGTCATAAATAGGCTAAATAGTGGTAAAACTATTTTGTTAAAAGCCCTAAGTGAAACTCCGAAATATCTCTAGCTGTACACACCTCCCTGAAGAAGACTTGCAAAGTCGGGTCGAAACGTTGGTTTTTAATAAAATAGTTTTACCACTACTTAGCCTATTTATGACCGCTACCCCGGACCATCTCCTTCCTTTATTTAATGTAATAATTTTGGCCGGAAGTGATTCTTATTTTTCTGTTTCATTGTATTATTCTTAAGGAATTTCGTACCAGAATAAAGTTATTTTTATATTTGATGGTTGTCCGTTGTATATTATGGAGTAAAGATGGTGATCATAAAAATAAGAAGACCTATTACTAACGAAAAAGACATGCAAAGTTGGGTCGAAACGTTGGCTTAAGATAAAAATATTTTTTAAACTATTTCAGTCTTTTTTATGACCGCCTCCCAGAACCATCTCCTTGCTCAATATTTTTCAATTTCCAACATACTTCACTGAAAAGAAGTTGGCAAAACAATTACGAGGAGTGGCAACATCACATTTCCGAATAACTCAGAAATTGTACACTCTTTTGCTGATGTCTTGATCATTTGAAAGTTTTCGAATTTTCTAAAAAGATAAAAAAATATTTTAATTTCTTTATTGTTCTAAATATTTTTCAAAAGTACTGCTGCAAAGCTGATATCCTTTGTTTTGATCCTTAGATTATCTAACATCACCTGCAGCAATCGAGATTATTATCTATCTTTCTTAGCAAACTACTAATGATGAAAAAAAAAAATACTTAGTCCTAAATTAGAAACCACCTTTTATTTATTTTCCTCTATGTGATAAGCAAAGTAGTGTTACACATGATACGTAACTTTTTGGAACTAATAAACCATTGTGTAATAATTTGTAGCGTTCTTATTTTAATATAATTTAAAAAAAAAATTCTAGATTTAATTTTGAATTCATTTTAATTAGGTTTCTTCATTGCACTGGCACTATATGTAAATTAAAATCAAAGTCATAAATATTCTGTGGCTAATTGACCTTCCTAATACGTCAAGGACAGCTGTTAATTAGACTACATTAAAATTATAATTACTATATTAAAAACGGTATCTTAAATATTTATTTTATTAATTAATGGAGTCCATTATTTTAGACAGGCAAATTATGAATATACAGATACCACGTGATCTGATGCTAGTTGACGTGACAGGACTGGCAACATCCCGAGATATTCGGCTCTGACCGATCAGTATTCCTTTCACAACGGCCCTCAGGAATAATGCGGGACATCGCCTTGAACTATGAGGCAACATGAACCGCGAGTTGGTTCTTGAATAATTCTGACCATCGCTGACCATTGACAAATGGTCCAACACGAAGAGCGTCGTTCCCAGGAACCAGACTCTTCGAAACTATCGGCTATACTGATCCTACTATCGGCTAGAAATTTGGCTGAAAATTAAGTATTGATGCACAAATGGACCAGAGGTTTCGAAAAGGAAACGATCTCATAATTGGGTACTTAAATGGAAAAAAGCACGCGTAAATTTGAAATGAAAGAGAATTCAAGTGATGTATAACCTATATAAGGTAGAGAT